GCTATTCATCCGAGACTATTAATTAAAGTAAAATAAACAACCCAACCTAAACGTTAACACATAAATCAAGGCATTTGGATCTCGCATTCGTTTTTATCACCACTTGAAACACGACCCTTTTTTCTATTGCTTGTTAGAGTGTCGAATTTTGCGTTCTGATGGTAAAAGATATAGTGTAAAATAAAAATGTGGGAGTATGGTATTTCATAATTTTATTTGGTTAGTTATAATAGAATGTATTGATAACCAAAAAACCTGGACTTAAAATTTACAAATTTTGAAAATATACCTCATTTTACCGAACTAAAAGACTTTTTTTTATCTTTCCCGAGTTTACCGTAACATAATTAAAATAAATTATAGACTTGATGCATTGTGATAAAATTAGAAACAGAAAATTTTCACACGAGAGGTTGTATCTAGCGCTAGTGTACAACTAAGATGGACTAATTTAGAGAATAAGCCTGCGATATTTTATCTAATATTTTAAAACGTTAATAATAACGTTATGAAATTCTAAGAAATAACATTTTTCAAAAATTGGGGTACTATAAAAGAAAACACTGGCTAATGCACTACATTAATAAAAAACCGACTTCACTTTGTTGTTGGCAGAACTCCGTCTTTACTTTTTATTTGATCTGAGGTACTACTCCTATTTTAAATTTTGAACCGTTGGCCGTTGGAACCGTCTTGACAGTCCAGGAGCAATTTATTAAGGGTACTAAGCCACTAAAGAACCCTTTGGGTTCTAGGTACTAAGCCTACCGTACCACAAGCGAAGACGGACTCCTGTTACCAGAGGCTGCCGGAGGATTTACAGTCGGGAAACAGCTGCATCGCTTTGAACTAACGGACATTCATCGGTTGTATTGTACCTACTGACGTTCCTCGCTACCGCTTGAACCTTCGAGGGAGCTGAACCTTTGACTTATCTGGAGGCATATCAGACTGGAGAATACTCTCTGGCCAGTGAACCCCTTTTTTGCTGAGTCGCAAAGGCCACAGAACTGTATTGGGGCAATATAAGGATTATTTTCTGCTGAGACAATCGTTGTATTTCCGGACCCACTATCTGCGAGCCCTAACGGCCGCACAGGAAATATTTAATAGAACTTCAATTACGTATAAGTACATAAAATATGAGTGAAACAGGAAGCAGATTATTTAAAGGTATTTTTTTATTTGGACCGAATTCACAAAAAGTGTTTCTCAAGAGACGAAAAATTCTAAGTTTAACTCAAATCAAAAAACTATATTTCATCTACATAAGAAAGAACAAGCGTTCCCAAACAGCAATATACCTACTCCAGAGTCAGTTTCCATTTAAAGGTATTTCCATACTCGGCATCAAAATGGCGCATTAATATCGATTACTTGCTTGAATCTGACAGACAAACGGGTAGAGGCGCGCTCGGCTCGCAAAACCCTAATAAATAAAATGGGAGAAAAATCGCTGGCAGGACGAAAGCCCTTCCCGAGGGAGTGCACTGTCTACCTCGACCCAGGAAATAGGTATTTACATACATAATGAAGGCCTCTTGGAACCGATAAGGGTGATACCTATGCCGGGAACACGTACACTGCGAAAACTATATGAAAGTGCTAACAAGGATGTCATCGGGTCAAACATAACAAACTAGATCAGATCGTGTTAGACGAACTGACATGGACATCTATCGGCAAATGCTGTAGTTTTGTGTAATTTTCTTTCTTGTGATTGACAATAATTGATTCCGATTTTTCTTCCTAGCTCAGCTTCGTAGTGCCAAAAATGGTGTCATTTTGACATATCCTTTTTTTATGTTAGATAATAAAAAAACCGGCCAAGTGCGAGTCGGACTCGCGCACCGAGGGTTCCGTACAAACCTGCAAGGTTTACAAAGTTCGTTCATTACGACAATCGAGTCATAACTATGGTATTTTTATTGCAAAATGAAATTCATAACATTACAATGGGGAAAGATGGAGGAGCATAAATTTAAGACAAAGATCTCTTTATCGTTTAAGTAATCCTTTATTTTATATTAACACATATCATTTATCTATAATATAACTGAAACACTTATACTAGCCTTGCAGCAGACTTGCGAAAGTTCTTTTATTAAAGTTATTTATTTACTAAGTTTTTTAGTCACTATTTAGAAATCTGGTTCAAAAATATTAATTAAGTATTAAATTTGAACCAGACCTGTAAATGGTGACTGAAAAAGTTATGAATAGTACCACATTGAACATTGAAGTTCGAAAAAACGTTATCAATAGTTGTACAACTTCGTGAAGTGCTACTGTTTATTAACGGAAACATGTTTATGGATGATAAATATGCGGAAATTCCATTTTGGGGATTCATTCTAAAATCTATATTGAAGTCTCCCACAACAATCAGACGAGAAGATGAAGTGTACATATTGAGGTTGCTGCCGAATATTGTTGTATTTATACATTCTATTGCAACATTAACACTTTAAGCAGTTAGGACGCATTTAGATTATACAGCTACATTCACCAAAACATCGGGATTGAATGACGATGAGTGAGGTCGTCTTTGCCGTTTGAAAAATGTTGCCCTCCCCATACATAGTATAATAACTCGCGGTCATTGCTGTAACTACAATTATGTTTACAATCACAATTTTTTTGGTGGTATAACTACTTAAAATTTTAAGCTTTTCGGAATTTTTCTGTTACCTGTGCTGTAAGCTATTGCTTCTTACCAAATTTCGAGATTCTATGTCAACGGGAAGTGGTCTTTAGGTTTTAATTCCCTTGCGTGTAGTTGCGAGTTTCAAAATATGCGGTATCAATGGTTGTACTTTTGCGTTTTGCGTTTTTGCGTTGACTTAGATTTTTTTTTTTCACGGGTTAAAGGCAATTAGATCTAAGTATTTGATATGAATTTCAACTTGATAGCTCTACGCGTTCATGAGGAAAAAAGTAATAAGTTTATATTTATTAAAAAATTTATATTTTGTAATGTAACTAAAAATTTAAGGTTTTCGGAAGTTTTCCTTTATGTGTGCTATAAAACGTTGCTTCATGCCAAATTTCAAGATTCTAGGTCGACTGGAAGTACCCTTTAGGTTTTGATTCCCTTGCGAGTACTTGCGAGTTTCAAAATATGCAGCTTAAATTGCTGTTTCTTTTGATTGCGTTGACGTAGAAGTTTGATTTTGTTACAGCTTAAAGGTATTATAGACCTGAGTATATGGTATGAATTTCAATTTAATACCTCTACGCGTTTATGAGGAAATGGGTAGTAAGGTTAAAATTATTAAAAAAAAATATATTATGTGATGTAACTAAAAATTTATGGTTTTCGTAATTTTTCCTTTATCTATGCTATAAGACGTTGCTTGGTACCAAATTTCAAGATTCTGAGTTCACGGGAAGCACCCTGTAGGTTTTGATTCCCTTGCAAGTGTCGAAAATTTGCGGCATAAACGGCTGTATCTTTTGATTGCGTTGGCTTAGAAGTTTGATTTTTTCACAGCTTCAAGGGACAGTAGACCTGAGTAATTGATATAAATTTCAGCTTCATACCTCCACGCGTTCCTGAGAAAAAGGGTCTTGACAGACGGACGGACGGACGGACAGACGGACAACAAAGTGATCCTATAAGGGTTCCGTTTTTCCTTTTGAGGTACGGAACCCTAAAAATGTTTCATGATGTCGCCGACTCGAGAGGTCCCGGGTTCGAATCCCGGTGGGGGCATATGGTTTTGTGATGAATACGAGCATTTCTACTCCATTCATGGATGTTTAATATGTATTTCTACATAAAAATGCTTATATATGTACAGTATATAATGTATTCTATGCGTTACCCTAGTATCCCATAACACAAGCCTTACAGTGCTTACTTTGGAGCTAGGCTGATTGTGGTGTGAGTGAGGAGTGAGTGTGTTAGAAATATGTATTTATTTTTTTATAACTAATTACCCGTGCTAATTACACTACATTCAATACTACATTGAAGTAAGATTGTTGCAAGATAGAATCTTGATTTGTTACGTCTGATACATTATGTTTTATCTCAGCACAGTACACAATGGCTGAGCCTTAGTTTTGATTGTGTTTGCTCATGCACGCTGCGTTATTGCTGCCTCATTCCATCTTTCTGAGTCAAACGATGCTGCCAACTCCACATAAACAACGGAGACACCTATTCCGTGTAGAGAAATAGAATGTCGTCTTTGTGACAATATAATTACGAAAAAATAAAAATTCTTAGATTGTTGAATAAACTCTTAAAATTTTATGAGTAGTTTTACGGCTAGATGTTTAAATCTAAAGAAAAGTTTTACTAGAAAAAATCCTCGCGGACCAGGCAGCGGACGGGACTCGAATCCGCACCCTTCGCAATCCGGGTGAATGCTCTGACCAATTATGCTACCACGGCCCTCATGGCCGCGTCGAAATTTTCCTAGCCTTAAGCTGCAAGGCAGCGCCATCTCTTCGCATTGTAGGTAACCCACAATGTCAAATGAATACCTTTTCAAGTATTAAACATTTGAAAGAAGAAATAGCAATTATAGTTATGGTTTTTTTTAAGCATTTAACTGCTAGATGTTAAAATCTAAAGAAAAGTTTTACTAGAAAAAAAATCCACGCGGTCCAGGTAGCGGACGGGACTCGAACCCGCACCCTTCGCAATCCGGGCGAATGCACTGACAAATTATGCTACCACGGCCCTGATGGCCGCGTCGAAATTTTCCTAGCCTTAAGCTGCAAGGCAGCGCCAACTCTTCGCATTGTAGGTGAATACTTTTTCAAGTATTAAACATTTGAAAGAAGAAATAGCAATTATAGTTTTTTTTTAAGCATTTAACTGCTAGATGTTCAAATCTAAAGAAAAGTTTTACTAGAAAATCAAAATGTTTTATATCGTCTTGAAACCTTTGCCATTGTCTTCGATATAACTGTAATAAAAACACAAAACACACTTAGCTTATTTTTTTTCAATAAGTGAAATACTTGCAATTTTCTTCTTTTTCTAGAGACTGTGAGACGATACGTGGCCAAGCTTAGTTTTCGCGAGAAAATAAGCCCACACACACACAAACGCACACACGTTAACGACGGCAAACATTCCGTATCAGTGGAGCAATCACCAATGGCGGGCCTCAATATCGGCATACCGACCGACGCGACGCGGCGGCATCCGCTCAATACTGCTCAATAGTTCTGTATTAATATCCGTCTTAATTACTACCCAGGTAACTTCACGAATAATTTTTATGGCTCCGTTCTTGTTTTCCCAAGAAAACCATTTACGTGTATAAATAAGCTATGATCCGAATGAATTACATTTATTATTCACTATAGGAATGAAAATTTATTTTATGTTACCTTCTAAATAACTATTTCTTTAACCAATATATAATTAACTCCAACTACAGATCTCCCAGAGATTTTAAGATCATTAGGTTATAATGAGGATCTTAACGTAACCTTTAACACAAGTTAACCCACGTTTGATTGTAAACTAACTTATTTATCGCAAATATAATTAAAAGCACTCATTCACACTTTCAAAATGTAGGCTTATCTGTAAATAATTATTTTTCGTTTAAATCTAGCGAGAATTTGAAAATATACTTAAGATTACATAAATTTAGATAAACATCGTCCATCATCTCACAGCAGTAGAGCAGATTCGCAATTAATTTCTCTTCTTTACTTCGACAGACTTAGTGTTTGCACGTTAAATTTTGTAAACTCTCCTATCGGCGTTATTTGCTCACGGGAATATCGCTTTATTTATCTTGAAAATACTTTCTAATGCCAATAAAGAGCCATCGTTCGGTTGAAATCACTGCTAATGAGTTTAAAGGGTTCATCAGCCGACCGTTGGTAGTAATTAATGAAGCTAATGGCCAACAAATATCCACCGGAGGTGTCGGGCGGCTCCAACAGCCGACTTTGAACCGGCTTGCCCCTGTAATTGATAACCGCGATTCCGGCACCACTCTTTGAAGCGGTCATACTTAGATACAACAGAGAACGTAAATTATGCAAGAAAAAAACCGGAGTAGTGTGAGTCGGATTCGCATACAAAAGGTTTCGTACCATTACCATTACATACCTAGTATTTAAAGCTTTTCAGAGTAAAATTACTTAGTTAGAATAGTCCACTATAAACTGACATGAACCTACGCACTTAGTACATACTTAGAGAGTGCCAGTTTATATTGGACGTAGAAGAAACCAAAACCAGACATACTATAAACTTCTTATAGGTGTTCCTGTAATCTACAAGCAAAGAGCTACTATTTGCTATTCGACTTTTTTTTTCAAATATTTTAGATGCAGTAGATTTAACTATAAAAAAAAATATGTTTGAAATTTTCATTGAGCCCTTTCAGGTGATATATATGTATATAACGCAGTACAGTTAGCTTAATTTTATAATTGTAACCTCCATATTCGGAATTTATTTATTTACTTTGTTCGTCCGTGTTTGGTTCACAGACATGTATGTAGCAAATTTCAACTTGATCGATCATTAGACCGAGACCCACACCATCAACTTCTCGATAGGGCAGCAGCCCTTTCCGCCACCGAGAGAGCAACCTCTTCCTTCGACAACGATTCATCCAGACCGAAGATACGCACATCCACGCATTTCTCTGGTCTGCCAACCTCGACAAGATCAGCCACTACTCCTTTAAGCCGTAGCCGAGCTGCAAAGTTATCTGCCCTTGTTTTCGAATCCGGTCCAGGCACCAGCAAGAGTTTGTTTCCTGACTGTCTGGCCTTGTTCAACAGTCCTCCTGGAATACCTAGGGCAGGCACGGAAATTTCCTTTCTTGCCCTGTTAATCAAGACGCCTGCGATACTAAAAATATCACTCGCGCCGTTTTGCCTACCGTGACCCAATCCCCGTGGGGCCCTGGAAAATTACTCATCGACAGAAACACAACACGACTTAAAGGTAGTGTGGTAATGACTTATTTTACTGTGATCTTCTGTAAGGTGGAAGTTACGTCTGAGAAAACGTGGGAGCGGAAAATTTGCTAAGCCCTACCTCCCTCTCGATATACAATCGTATAGCAGACGGATTCAGGGTAGGCAACGGACTAGTAGCTATTAAATGCTCTGGGCCCCTTACTGTCAGGCGACTCATTATGCATCTTTTAACATAAAAGAACAAACTTGTTTTTCTCATAATCCTCAAAAATGTGACACTGTTCCACGCGCAAATTATATATCCATACATAGATGTTTTTTTCAGTTTTAAAGAAAGGAGATTGCTCAGCTTCCATACATGTTTAGCCTAAAGACCAATAATCATGAAAAATTGTTTCCTAGATTCGAAATTAAATATAAATTACTGTAGAAACGAACTTTATTGACGGCCATCCCTGAGAACTTCTATAAACCATATACACTGAACGATTTTGAGGTTATGTTTGCAAATAGGTACATAGGTATTAAAATAATAAAAAACAAATAAGTTGTATTGTAAACTAGGGAAATCAAGCCAAGTACCGAAATTATGTATTAGATTCAGGTATATAGAGCATGTACATTAACAGATATTTGCCTGTTTTTAAAGTTAATGCACAAGAGTATCTTTTAAAATCAGGTATCATCTATGCATTTCCGGTTATAATAAGGAAGGTACTCTGTGACAGAAACTGTGTGATGATTGTAAATGAGCCACAGATTAGACAGAATTTTTAAACTCTCGTTAACCAAAGAAAGCTAAGAGATTTAGAGTATATAGCGGTAGTTTTCCAATTACAGCATTATACCGCATTACGCGGCATAATGCTTAACGTTGAGTGTTTCAATTACGGCAACGCTTCGCACAATCGAGCACTCTCAAAAGCAATGCTTTCGTGTGATATGTGCAATCGTACCAACTCAGTGACATTCATTAACAAGTGTTTTTTTCTTTTAGTTGGCATTGATCGAACGTTAGCTCATATTATAATCAAAGTTAATTCAAACTGTGCTATAAAATAAATTAGTAATAAGTATGAATGAAGGTACAAACATTGACTTTTTTTTATATTCCACATTTAAAATGTGAATACAATTTTATTTCTAAATTTATTTTACAGCAATATACATTTGTAAACACTGCAATAGCTTGATTGAATCATTTAATGACGCAGGCAATCATCAATATTTTCGTGAAAAGGAACTTATTTATCAAGATGAAGAAGACAACACAATCTTATTTGTTCATAATTACGAGAATGAAAATAAAGAAAACCATGAAAAGCAAGTGTTTAACAACGAAGAGCCTGAACTTCATAATTCTTCATTATCAGGTACAAATAGTTCTTATTGAAATAAAATTTAATGTCTTACAATATATAAAATAGCTTTCATTACTAGATTAAAAAAAAAACAAACAGGAACGTAATAAATAATTTTATATAACTTTTCACTGTTTGAAAATGTTCAATTTTCTTAGCAAGAAGTTTAAAATTTTATCTACTGATTAAAACTAAGAGTTTATATGTATATTTTAGGTTACACTGCATATATTGAAAGTGATGAAGACTTAAGTCAATCTGCAGATTTGAAAACAGAGAGTAATCCTAAGAAAAGTACGAATTTAATTATTTTTTTAATTTTTCTTAAGAAAATATAAAGTTTATAGACTGTACATTAGATTTTGTAGTTTTAATTAAATTATAATTGTGTGTTGTGTTTCTAAATATTTCAGATGCTGTGTGGACAAAGCAAGACACGATGGCAATGCTTAGCTTATACGAAGCAAATATACAAAGGCTTATGGATATCGGCAAGAAATCAAGGGTGTGGAAGAAAATATCTAAAGGTTTAAAAGATTTATGTATACAGGTAAAAATACTTAATATAATTAATTCTGAAGGTGCACTAAACTATTGATAGTGTGTTGATTAAAAATTTTCATTATAAGCATTAATTTATGGTTGTTCAGGTAACAACAGATCAGGTTAAATGAAAATTTAATCGCTTGTATAACAAATATAAGGAGTGTATCGACAACAACAATAAGAGTGGAAGAGCTCATATGACATTTGAATATTATGAGCAATTTGAAGGAATTTTTCATAAAGAGAAAAACGTTGCCACTTCAAGTACATTTTCTTCTTCGATACTCATTACAGATGAAAAAAAGAAAGCTTGATATAACTGGATCAAAGAACATTAGTAAAAGTAAAAAATTAAAAATAGATGCTACATCCACCGAAAAGAATCTACCACCAGTTGATGAGTCTCCAATACTCAAAACAACTCTGGTTGCAGACGTTAAAAAACTGCAAGAAACCAACAATGCATTCAAAGTATGGAAATTTTAGAAAAAAATCAAGAAAACCAGAAGGCTAGAGATGAAAAAATGACTAAATGTTTAAAAATAAAAGAGAAAGAAATGGATTTAAAGAAAAGAGCTATTGATGTTCGTGAAACTGAAATGCAAATTAAAAGAGATGTTGCATTTGATAAACTAAAGTGTAATGAAAAGAAGCACAAAGACTGGTTAAATATAGAAAAATTTAAATGTGAGCTTCTAAAAAAAGTATTAAAAATCGTACTGACAGCGAAGAGTCTGATTAAACTAAAAAGTTAATGTTTAAGAGTTTATTGTACCTAAAAAGTTTATTTCAACATGTCAAAAACAAATAAAATAACATATTTAATAAAATTATTTTATTTTTCACTTCTGTATTTTGTCTAGTTCTATCAATACTACACAATTGTGAGATTTTTTAATTTAGTTATAAACAGTAAATTACTTATTTAATCGTATTAATTGATTTTTACAATTATAATTTTTATTATTTTAAAGCATGTAACTGCTTGATGTTACGCGTGGAATTTTTTCTAGTTATATTTTCTTTAGATTGATTTTTCAATTCAATATACAATTGGTATCGGAAAGTATAGACATATTTTATTTTGAACTTGTGCATCTGGAAAAAAATCTCTGAATAATACCATTCTACGATCTCTATCATTATTATTATTTTGATATTGTTCTTCATAACCATTTTCCTCTAAATTTATCCCTACATTTTTATTTATCAACAAAGAGAATTCAATATTTGCATTCATCTACACGAATGTCAGTCGAAAAAGCTTTTAGACTATTGAAAAACCTGACATATATACATACATATACATGACAATTTTGATAACTTTGAAGTTATATTATCAACTTCAAAGTTATCAAAATTGTCATGTTCATCGATACAATAATTGTGCAAAATACATGCTGCTGTAACGACCTCGGATACAAATGATAAATTTCTGTATTCATTAAAGAATTTAATTCGTCGAAAACGGTTTTTCAACAGTCTAAAAGCTTTTTCGACTGACATTCGTGTAGATGAATGCAAATAATTTAATTCTCTTTGTTGAGGAGTTAAGTGACCATTATCTCGAAATGGTGGAACAAGCCATGATATCGATGGATATGCAGAATCTCCAATTAGAAAAGTATTATTTGGAAATACATTTTCTTTATTATTGTGAGATTCTTCATATAACGGTGATCTTCGAAAAACTCGAGCATCATGTAAAGATCCTGGCTCACCACAATAAATATTAGTAAACTTCATGTTAGAATAAACTACTGCTTGAAGATTTATAGAAAAATATTTTTTCCGATTACAATAATCTACTGCATCCTCATAAGGCTTTACAATTCTTATATGTGTACAATCGATTGCTCTTAAGATATTTGATATATATTTTTTTGTGAAAAAACCTTCACATGTATTGATTATTGCATGATTAGTCTGAGGTCACTTGATAACATCATCCAATTTCGTTAGAATCCAAGTTATGACACGGCGAATGACTCGGAATGTTAATGAAATTGAAATATCAAATAAATTTGATATAGTCCGCAATGGATCAGTATTTGTAATAAACCACAAAAATATTAAAAAGCTTATTTCAGCGCTGATGGGTTTCATCCCGAAGGTATTCTTGGGAATAAAAGTCGATGTTTCCAGTTCATCTGCAAAAAAAGGTTTCAGTAATATATTATAAATAGATAAAACTCAAAAATATGAATTCTTAAAATACGTACTTATCAGATGATATGCAGTAGTTCGCGATAATCGAAAATTTTCTTTAAATTCAGCATCTGTCCAAGCTTTTACTACATTGAGATAATTTTCAACTCTTTGCTTTCAACAACCTGTCATCAAATATTTTATCAATGGCTCAAATAACTCATCTGTTTCATTATCATATATATTTTCAATAAATATATCACTTGATAACATGGACGTATAAAAAAAGGCGGACAGAGTCCCGGTAAACAACAAACTGTGTCGCTCAGCTCGGCCAGGTCGCTATATATACAAGCCGGCACACACACATTCACACCATAGTCAGCCATTACGCGTGCAAACGTCAAAGCAGCCGATACGTTAAGTGGAGATAAAAATAAGTTAAAACAAGATGTCTTGCGTGGTAAAATGGTGTAAAAACCGTAGTGACCGAAAGAAAAAAAATCCAGGAATCACGTTTCAAAAGTGATTATATTGTTCATTTACCTATGAACAATATAATCACTTTTTTCTAGTTTTTAGAAATCGAAATCAATTTTCATTCTAAGCACAAAATAATTAATCTAAAGTCCAGTGTTGTCAATGTTCACGTAACCATATTACCTAAAATATGGGAAATTGGGGTGACATTAGCTTCAATCTATTATTTGTTATTCTTTTTTATCAGATTGCCTAAAGAAAATGTAGAATGGAGAAATGACTGGATCCAAGTTATTAGGAATTGTAACGGAGATGATGAATGGATTCCAAATAAATATAGTGTCATTTGCAGTATCCATTTTGAAGCTGGAGACTTATATACTACTAAAAGAGGACTCCGGCGTGTTGTTACGCATGCAGTACCTCAAAAGGTAAATTAAAAATTTTAACCGACTTCAAAAAGAAAGAGGTTCTATACGTCATATCTGTTATTTTTTTTTTCAATTGTTGTTCGTGCATATCTCCGAGATTCGTGGACCGATTTTGATGATTATTTTTTTGTTTGAATCAGTTTATTAGCGAGATGGCTGTATTAATTAAGTGCAGAGCTGATGAGTATTTTCGGAGGGAAACAATGGAACTCCTCAATTACAAACAGTACTCAATGCATGTTTTGTTAATTTAAGAAATATAAAAAAGAATGCAGGCCTGGCCAGGCATATTTAGGTGATTTACTCTGGCTTATGAAAAGTGGAAAATATAAACTTTTTCATACAAAAATAAAAACAGACTTCATGTTAGTTTTCCAATTACAGAGCATAATGCGACTCAGTGGCTACCAATGCCGAATTATGCTGATGATTAATTGGAACGTGAATTAGTTTTCAAATGCACCAGCAAAGTGCGCTAAGTTCAGTGTTGAAAAAAAAGTGGAATATAAAAAAAGTCAATATTTGTTATATATAATAGTTTGAATTAACTTTGATTATTTAAAAAAACCTACAATGAAACAAAAGTTTTAAAATATTTTCAACGATAAATAATATTACTAACGATAATATTTAAACAAAACATTTCGATCAATGCCAACTTAAAAACAGTGCGTATGAACACAATTTTCGCCTTTTCAGTATCGATCGAAACGGTGCAGTGTGTTAAATTTTTGCCACGGGACCAACGTTCGACGCATCACCGCGGTCGTCGGTTCAAATCCCGCACTCGTGTTTTATTTTTTATTATATTTTTTTTTCCATTTTTTATATATTTGTTTTAGACCCCAGCACCTGTTCTTATTTTTATTTGTCTCCCTTTTATTTAGACTTTATAATTATAATTTTTGGACTAAAGGTGGTAAACTGTGGAGCATGTGGAAGTTTTTTGGCGCCGGGCAATGCTGTTGTTTGCTGTGCTTGCCCAATAAAATATCATAAGGCCTGCCTCGCCATCTATTAATATCAGAGAAAAAACTTGAATTAATATCAAAGAAAAAAAATACTGCATAAATAAATAGTATTATTGCATAAGTTGACAAATAATGCTATGCAATAGCTTTACCGCGGCAGTCCCCGAGTGCAACACGTTTTTTTTTTAAGTACACGATTTGCATACCTATTTTCTAAATACAGTGGAGCCCCGGTAATCCGGCCCCTGGCTAATGCGGCACCCCCTATAATCCGACATCGTCTATTACATACAAGTATTCGCTAATTCACGATTGAACAAGTTACAACTTGTACGCACCATCACAATTGTGCTCGACGCGTAGGGTATTGTTTTTTATATTTTTTTGTAAATTCTATAGCATTTGACGTTACTTTTATAATAAAACATAATCTTTCTATTGTGTTGTTTAATTTACTCAATTTGACATACATAACAAAGTATGTTTTGTAATCTTATCATTGGATCTGTAATTTGTCGGATTACAAGGTACTCTTTTGTAAAAAAATTCGGACTATAGGGGGTCTTAGGCAGTACTCCATAATCCGACAAATTCGATAGTTCGACACTGCCCTGCAAAATGTTTGTCGGACTACCGGGGATCCACTGCATTCTTTTAAGACCCTTTACTTTGATACCTCGCTTGACGGGTTATAAGCATTTTTTTTCTAAAGGTTTCATTTTGGCGCCTTATTATTGGGCATACATACATGCATACACGCTCGAAAAACATTATCCACCGCAGTCGGGTAAAATTTTGAACAATTAAAATATTTTGATCTTTTTTTTGGTAAAAAATTGCCTAACCTAGCAACCCTGCATTCACTCACTCATAGATAACCGCCGCCATTACGGTGCCTCACTTTTGTCTTAGCCGAAATTCTGTCCGCCTTTTTTTATACGTCCTTGCTTGATAAGGAACTAATTGACTGATTTAAACTCGGAATACTCGATAAATCTTCATCATCACTATCATCTGGGTAAGATGATTCAATTAAACGGTGTATAATTCTTTTAGAACTCATTTAAAAAACATACTCAGTACAAAAAAAAATGTTAATGAAATAATCAAAATTACTTAAAATAACCGTAAATATGTTTCAACCAATTATTATTATGTATACTACTTTAATTAAACATTATTGAGGTTATTGCTAACTCTATGATATTTTTTTTCAACACTGAACTTAGCGCACTCTGCTGGTGCATTTGAAAACTAATTCACGTTCCAATTAAGCATCAGCATAATTCGGCATTGTGCGGCACTGGGTCGCATTATGCTCTGTAATTGGAAAGCTACCAATAATATCTTCAGTAGCTTCATTATTTTTGTTATGTTTACATTATAACCGTATTTTAGATTTTAAGTGTATCACACCTGTTAAGGCTTCTTACGGAACTTCATAGCAATCTCACGGGACATATGTATTGCGACAATATATTCAAGCGGCGTCTAATTTTGACGTATTAAATTCATTGTGGAGTTACCTACTTTATTTTTTACCTTTTTCATTGTTCAACCGTTTCTTTTCTATCGCAAAATTATAATTGTCACCACTGTTAAATAATAATACAATTTTACTACTTTTAAGTACTACTTGCTAATTATACTTACATTCAAGACTAGAAGTTGCTACAATACATACAGGAAGAGTAAACATTTGGATGATCTATAATTTTGGAGTTTCATTTCATGTTCTAATTAACATGAAAATTATAACGTGTTTATGGAGGTGTTTGGCGAAAAAT